TACAGGACATCATCATGAGCTGACGTCGGTTGGAGAATCATTGGAAAACGTGGAAGTACTGGACAGCTGTTCCGTCCTGGTGTGTGACTCTTCAGCATTGAACGCCTACTATGGTTCGAACGGAGGACCTTCCGGTAACAAGGCATGCTCGTAAACCACTAAGCCACTGGGACCTGATCCAATGGGCCATGAATTTCAATTTCTGCCGATTCAGCAGGTTGGATGTGAGGATAAATACTCTCTGATGACATTGGCTAATGGTCGCGCTATATAGTGAATTTCAGATTTCGTTATTCACTGTTTCATTCAGAAATACCATACGATGTTGCCTCATGTCAAGTAATTGACAGCTAAAAGCTCATTGAAGCCTTTAAAGGGAAGCCGGGGGGTAAGAAAGAGTTACCTACTATCACGACGGGCCATGAGAAGTGAGAGGATGGACATACGTTCGGCCAACAGAAAGACGCTACAAGATGTGGATTTTGTGGGTGACTTATGTCTAATATCACAAAAACTCGAAGATTTGGAGGCCAAAACCGATAAGTCATTAAGAAAGCCAGTGCATGTGTGGCTTCATGTGAACATAGAGAATACGGAGGTGACAAAAATGCCCGACCAACCATCACCACCGATGAGGGGAATCAAAAGAAGTTGTCTCTTTCACTAAACTTAGCCGGGAAGCTACATTTCCACTACAGTAGGCTCGAATAAGGATGGGAAAAGCATGCGCTGAATACTCCGAAGTCAGTGAAGAAATCTGCAGCGCTCACGCTCTCACTCAACGCGAGGAACTAAATCCAAATTCGGTTTAACACTGATACTTCACAGTTTCGGTGAGCTCGTTACCAAAAGCATTTCCAACGTGCTACTTCAGACTTTCATCAACAGCTGTTTTTGTTCGATACTGAAGATCAGATGGCCGACTGGAAAGGATTAGCGACAAGGAACTCTGGTAGCCAATGAACCAAACAAGGACCTATTGACCCAAATATTACACAAGAAAATTAAGGTGGATTAGACACACCCTGGGAAGTCATTGAGTGACATCATGCGCCAGGCTCTTGCCTGAAACCCAGATGGGAAGCGATAGGTAGGATGGGTATCCAAACATTATAAGAGGGTTATTCGAACAGATGAAAGCTTGTGAAGATTCATGGAGCCGGTTAAAACAGGTTTCAAAGGACCAAGAGGAATGCTGATATATTACTGAAACTCTATGTTCCAATCAAACCCATTGAATGAGTAACAATAATACCAGTGAGCTTTAATGGATGCCAGTGACTCATTTTTACTTGTAGTGTATGCATCGTTGGTCAACCATTGACAAATATAAAACATTAGTTACAATGCATTGTCACAAAATAAGTGAAAAAAGTTATCATATATTGTCTATAGGGTCTTAAATGAAACCATTAGGAATTTTGGAAATATTAGCAAACTATCACACATCTTGAAAGTTTATGATACCTCTGAAACACTTCGAAAATCAAAAGTCGTTTCTTAATATACTAGTGAATTCAATATCCAGTATACAAGAAAGTTTAAAGGGAAGCTTTTGGTTGGACTGCTAGTTCAGAGTTCTAGGTCTAAGGGTAGTAAGTACTGGAAGTTTTGGTAACATACCGTAGAATACTTGACCACAGGAGAGCATGAGTAATGGGCTAAGTCTGAGCGCATTACACTCAGCTACTTCGTTAGGACTCAATTACTATTATTATTATTGTTTCCTTTAATTCCTAGAGGAACATAGGGCTTCAGCCACACGTCTCCATTGCGTTGGGTTCTCTGCCAACGTTTTCACCTGACTGCACATCTGCCCACATGCTTTCATCTCCTCTTCACATGACCTCCTCCAAGTCACCCTCACACTGACGACCAACTCGCCGCTTCCCCTTCTGGTTCCACTTGAGCGATGACTTGGCGTGTGATGTCACTTGATGGTTTCCTCAGAGTATGGCCAGCCAATCCACCTCCATTTCTTCCTGCATATTTGTTTCACAATCGGTTCCTGCTGTGTTGGTTCGCTCCCAGAGACCCCTGTTGCTGATCTTTTCTGGCCAGCCATCTGATCTTGAGTATTGAGCGAAGACAACTGTTGGTGAAAGTTTGTAGTTTGTTCGAAGTGCCCTTCGTGACGCGACGTCAAGTCTCTGATCCGTATAGTAGCACTGACTTCACATTGGAGTTGAAAATCCGGATCTTATTTTTCATGCTGAGTAGTGCTGTTGATCTCCACACAGACTTGAGAGTAATGAAAGCTTGCCTTGCTTTCCCGATCCTCGCTTTGATATCCTCATCAGTTCCGTCCGCCTGTAGTTGAAACGATGCTTCCCAGGTATGTAGGTAAAGGAAGTTGCTTCTTTCAGATTTCTTTCACTTATGCTGTTTAATGTTGTTGTTGCTGTTGGCCAGTAATCTTCATCACCTCTGTTTTCTCTATGTTCACCTGAAGTCCTATCCAACTTGTCCCAGTTCACTAAAAACCACGGCCACCATTTTCTGTCTCTTAATCACTTACTATCCAATGCCCATTAGAGACTTAATTGCAAGCCAGTTACACACATGAAAAGATATTTACCGACCCTTGCTACCAAATGACATTCGTACCAACTCAGGAGCCCTAGAAATCAATCAAATACAGTTCCTACTAAAATGTTCTTTTTTTACATAACTTTTGCTTGTCGTTAACCTTATCTATGCAGTTACACAATACATCGGTCTCCTTGACATTTACAAATGATGGGGGTATAGTGTTTTTTATCCTAAAAAACCCACTTGATAGACCATTTATCTACACCATGAAATTTTTCATGTTGTTGTATGATGATGGCTTCCACTTTCCCCCAGAAATCTGTCATTCATGTGAAGTAATTTCTTACGTATTAAACAGTCTTTAGACTTTTGTTAGGACTCTTGCATAGTTTGAAAACTAGACCATTTACTCCATGGTGTGCTGGTTGAAAGAACTGTAAAAGTTAGAAAAACGCAGAGCTAAACATAAGCATTCGTTAACTTTCGAGAAGAAAAACAAATAAATGTGATATCTTCTTTGACGAATTCCTCTTAGAAAGCTTCAGTCAGTCAATTTAAAAGCAAAGTCTCTCGTTATCTCCACATTTCCCCACTCACTTACAATCAACCACATGACAAAATAAAAACTGAATTTTGTGACTAACAAACTCGAGTAGCATAGTGGAAATGTTCACTGTGAATGTGAATCAAGACCATGTATATTAACATGGAAGATGAAATGAGACCAACATGTTCTTCGATGGTGTTATTAAATCACCTCTTATAACCTTCTGTCACTCAAATATTCGCTTTCTTTATACTAGGATAACTGTAGAAATGAAGAAGAATCAATTCAGTCAACCCTAGGGTTGTTTGTCTTTCAAAAAGGGGGTCCAACTAATTGACCTGGCTGTCAGTAACATTTAAGCGTCAACTGAATCACCAAGTTATTTATTTCTCTTCACATTCCGGATAGCTGGACTTTAGATCAATTATTTTTAGGACTCTTTATCAGTACACATCCAAGACTCCATCAGGAATAGAACCCAAGATCTTCAGATTACGAGGCTAAGCTCGTTGACTATTCAGCCAATAGGGCTGGAATTCGGTGGCTGGTGAATTCTAACTTCCATCAGCTCGGAATTTTAGCTTCAGCGTTAGCCAGTGTTATTGACGAGTATTTATCCTCTCACCCTACCTGGTGGACTCTACTGGTCACGACTTCTCACTAGAACTCTAGGAGGCAACTTCGTCCTGTAGACAGTCAAAACGAGTATACAATTAATTTTATATTTTATTATAGCTTGATTCCACACCGTATTCTTGGTACAAGTATGGAATTCTCAACATGTGATATCGGTAGCCCAAATTTTGCAGACCGACCACTGATATCAGGTGTGCGTCGGCAGGGGATCGAATCTTGGACCATGTGCATGGTCGGCTAGAGTCCTAACCGCTGTGCTACCGACTCACTCAAGAGTTTGTAGGGACTTGATTTGTTTCGATTTTGATCATGGACTGATATCAGATCCTGGATTTTATCTCTGATGGGGTCTTAGGTGCGTATTGACGAAAAGTCCCAAACTAGGCTGACGCAACAGCTTTCCAGTACTCTCAGGTTCTCCAATGGTTCTCTAGCCGATGTTAGCTCATAATGAAATCCTGTAATCAATCAATCAAATCCCTACAAATCAATACATGAAAAAGATTTTGTTTTTATTTGAGTTCTAATTAGCTCAAAAAACATGTTGCTTATCACTCAACTTATTACTCAAAGATGGGAGAAATAGTCATATTTTTATCTTAAAATCCCCCTTTACTAATTGGTGTAACAAGTAGAAAGTGTTGAATCTTTTTTACCTCAAACTGATACTGTTAGAAGTTGAAGGGAAAGTATTGCCGCCGAAACTCAACGCAAAAAATTAGATAATTAAGTTACACACTGAATCGCATAGATACTATTCGATTCTTTACGCAAACGACGACCATACGGACAAACCTTTACACGTGTAAGAGTATATAAAAGTATCTTTCAAAAGACAGATCACATACTAAATTGGTGCGTCGGTGGCATAGCGGTTAGGACGCTCGCCGACCCTGCACATGGCTGGGTTCGATACCCGGCCAATGCACTCCTTCCTACCTTGCTAAGCCAGAATTATTACTGGTGAAGAGGAAAGGTTGGGCATGAGGCTAGCAACCGCATCCTGTAAAAATTAAACACTGCTACAGGAACTTCAAGCCACTAGCTTGAAGCCCTATGTTCCACTAGGGAACGTGAAGGAAAAAAACATACTGAATTGATTGCATCTTTATTACTGTTCATATTTAATTGTAATAATAATAATATTTACAGGATATTTTTAGATATACAGTGTAGAAATCCATGCCTTTTTGTTTGTTTTGTAAATTACACACTAATAATAATAAGTAAATCTTCCAGTAGAACAAAAGGTGAATTCAATTCCCTTGACACTAAAGTATATTTTCAACTGATTGCCTTATACTCCTCATCTAGATATCAAGTTAGGGATAAAGTTTGTGTGATGAAATAAATGTGAATAAAAATTACTTGAAATTAGTTATTAATTAATTTAATTAAAGTAACGTGAAAAATCATAGTAACTATTACTACTTATATTATTACTATTATTATTGCTATTGATAGTAGTATTGTTGTTAACACAAGTTGTATTCTGTGCAACTAAACTACTTAAATCAAAGTTGACCGCTGTATTGTTATTGTTATTATTTGCAGAACAAGTAGAAGAAGAATGAGACAGTGATAACGATGACGATGAAGCTGAAGGAGAACATGATGTTTGTGCAGTAACAGGTGAGGAAGAAGAATTAGACATAAGATTAAATTCTGAGTTGAGTACCCCCAGATGACCATAGTTTATTGGTGTCGATTCAAGAGAATTGAGCACTGTATCAGGAGGATTGGAGGAGAGAAGTTTTGATTTTGGTGTTAAACAGTGTACAGAAGTGAAATTTGAAGTGTTATTATTATTATTGTTCCAAGCTGCAACCGCTGCTGCAGCTGCGACTGCCATAGAGGACAGTTGAGATGAAGTGTCTGGAAGTAGTTGGGGTAATAAATCAGAATTTGGATTACCATTTTGTCCATTAGAAACAGAAAGATCATTGTTAGGGAGAACAGACGGTTGTTGCGGTGGTGGAAGAGGTGGAGAACAAATTCCAGAGTCAGTTGAAAGAGTACTCGGTTGTGGATAAGTTATTCCAGACCATAATACAGGGTTTGATTGTTCTTTTTTATAATTTTGTATTTGATCAGTTGAATTAAGCCATACTGGTTGATAGTTTGAGTGTCCAGTCAAAAGATGGTGGTGGGCTTGTGATTTATTGATCAGTTCTGAATCAACTTGTAATTCATGGCTATGTGATATGTCATATGAATCATTTCTGTTAGATGTATGTACTCTGTTGACAGTGACATTATTACTGGTCTCCTGAAGCTGATTATAAGGCAAACAATTTAGCTTAGGAAATTCTGAATTCATAAATGCTCCTTGATGCATTTTGAAATGTGACGTGACTTCATTACTGTCTTTTTGATGACCAATATCATCAACGTCGTTATAATTCTTGACTGACATCATTCTTGTATCATTTATGCTTATCTTAGTGGATAAGCCACTTTGATCTTCACTTGAAATATGACATTGTTTTGGTTTGTTTAAATGATGAATATTCGACGGGGAATTCATACGTGTCACATCATTCAGTACAGTATAACTATCTGTTTCTCTTAGATGATTATTAACTGCATTCAAGTGATTTGGAATGTCGAGCACAGTATTGAAGTGTTCCGAATAGTCCTGTTGTTTCTTTGGAGATGAAAGCTGTAAAAGTTACCACATAAAAAAAATAAATAAACGAAGTATCCGTAAACTTCTTTGCAACGGACTAGAATATAACAGAACAGATATGGAGAAGAAATCTGGTGACGGAAAATACACCAAAATCAGAAACTACTATGAAAAGAAGTAAATTTCACTTTGGAGTTTCTGTAGGAGTGTGATTACTTTTACGGGATGGGGTTTCTAACCGTCTCATGCCCAGCTTTCCCTCTTTACCAGTTTTACTACTGGCTTAGCAAGGTAGAGGAAGGAATGCGTCGGCCGGGGATCGAACCCCGGACCGTGTGCATGGTTGGCGAGCGTCCTAACCGCTGTGCCACCGACGCGAGACTTACTTACTACCTAAAATTTTTGGACTTCAGCAAAACTGCATTTTTCCATAGAATTATCTGCATCATATAAAGAAATATTTTGTGTGGAAAGGTTGAAAAGCCTAATTCGATTCTACTTCTTAAGCTGTAAATGAAGTGTATTCAACCTATCCTTTACCATCAGCTAATAGAAATGGCTAGTTGCTTGATGCACCACCACATGTGTCATTATTAACTTGAATACACTGTCGAATAAGCTGACACTTTCCCCTTGTAAAATTAGACAATAAAGTGTGTTCCATCAGTAATTGCCATAGAATGGAAAGTTATATACCTATGAATTCAGATTGTATATGAATGAATACGTTTTCTGTTACACATAGTCTATTGATTTTGAAATTCTTAAATGGGACTATGAGACCTTATGTGAGGAGTCTCTATAAAGCCGATGTACTGTATTTTCAGTTAATTTGAGACTTTGCAAAACTCTTTTATTATTCTCCTCTACATTAACAAAATCACCAGGCCAAAGATAAATTATCACTAGGGTGGAATAAACTTCTTGAAATTCTCATTGTATATTCACATTCCTTTGGTGACACTTACCTCTTGATGAACCGGTGTAGACATATATGACCAATTCATACCCATGTGTTCTTTACGACCAAGATTCATTTGTTCGCTCTGCTGTTGGTGATGTTGCCGGTTCTGTTGATCAAGTAATAATTGTTGATAATTATGGTACAGTGGTGAATAATGATGATTTGATTCCATGAAATTATTAGAATTAGAATTATTTTGGTCATAATCAAATTTCTGTTTAATTAGATTTATATGATCTAATTCACCGTTATTCCGTGTGTGTTCTTGAGCTTTATTGACTGCTGAACAATTATTTCCATAGTGTTGGTCATCACCTTGATTTTCATCTAGGCTAGGTGTACCCGGTTTTTCGTGTTTATTCGAATTCAATTCTTTGCCTTCACGTCGCCATTTCGCCCGACGATTTGAAAACCAAACTTGTATACGTGATTCTGGTATTCGCATAGATTCTGCAAGTTGTTCTCTAACCAATAGATCAGGATAGTGAGTACGTTCAAATTCTGTAAATGCAAAGCGACAGTTTATTAATATTGACACTACACATATACTACTATTGTACGAAAAAAATAGTCGTTTCCAGTAAATTCCAAAACTGATTGATAAATTAGCTGAAGTCATATTTTATGTGGTTGATTTCTCCATAAGTTATAATTACATTTTTGGATAACAATCGTCTTTTCTAATAGTTCAATGTAGCGTTCGTTACGAATCAATACGAATAGGAGATAACTGAAAACCGTGGAACAATGGTCAGCTGTTTCGCCCACTTTGAGACTCTTCATCACTATGGACCCACGATTCCATCAGGGATCAAGTCAGGAATTTTCAGGTTATGAGGCAAAGCCTATTGGCCGTTAAACCCATAATCTAAATTTCTGATACTTCTGTGAATCACTATTCAGTAAGACAGTTAAAGTCTTTTCATGTAGCATAATTATAAACAGGTGCCTTCAGTAAAAGAAGTTTCCATTTAGAATGATGTAAGAGTGATGAAAACGTTATTTTGAATTCTCCTCACTGTGTAGCAGAAGTTCACAAATGAACAGGTTGGTGAAATTAAGATCCTGCATGTTTTACTGACACCCTCTGTTAGATTTTTATAAGTTCACAAACTAAGCTATCAACACTGCATATTATGTTGTGGTTAGACATACTATTTGACAGAAAAATTTTCAACAGGTGAATGTGACTTTAAGACCCATGCTGCGAAATCTAAGATATTTCGAATTCTAAGACTGTATTCCAACATCATGTACAACAGCCTACAGTATTACTTACTGATAACGTCATGACATGATTATGAACAACAAGATGTGCTTCAAACATTGTCATTCAATAGTACTGTATCGCTGTGTATTTCTATCAAATAAAATTACTCTTTGATGGAATTATACTCCACAACAGTGCCTTAAACTCCTATACCACTTTTCTAAGTTAATTTTTAAATTCGTCTCTTAGGCAACCTGTTTTCTGTCTACAAAGCTTGAATTTAATCTTATATTCATATATTTCATTGTTGTAATGTAATTAAGTCTTGCATCTGTGGAATGCTCGCTGCCACGCATGTTGTCTAGGGTTCGACTCCCAGCCGACGCCCTCCTAAACCTCGATAGGCCGGTAGGAAGCCCAGTAAAAAGTAAAGGTTGGGTACGAGGCTAGCAATTTTATCTTGTAGAGAATAAACATCACTGCTACTGAAACTACAAAGCTCATGCTTGAGGCTGTATGTTCCACTAGGAAAGCAAAGGAGGAACATAAAAGTAAAATAATCATGTAATTTAATCATAAGTAACCCAGATATTCGTTGATAATGTCAAGGTTGTATTTGTCCTCTATCTTCATGTGGTTAGCAAGGTCTGTGTGGAAAGCAAAACGGCCTGACTAGAGGGTTTAAAAGGTTTTCTTCCTCCGGTCGACTAAATTAGCTGTTCAAAAGTTATGTAATGAGAATTGATAAAAACTTACCTTCTTCTAGTATTTCCAACTGTTCAGGAGTGAAAGCTGTTCTATTCCTTCCTGACTTTTTATTTTCACTTGAACTATTCCCTGTGATCACTTCCCTCTTTAAGCCTTCATATACTTTATTGTCACATAATGATGAAGATATAGGAGGTGATGACGAATGATTATCATAGCTAGTCTCTTCATAATCTTGTCGTTGATTTTGATTTGAAAAATGCTGCGAATTATGTTTAGGTGAGAATTGAGAAAAATTCTCTTTTCCATAAGTTTTCATCAATATTTCTATAGGTGTGGAACAAGATTTAGCATTACTATCACTAGTGTCATTTGTAATAGTTGAGGTAAATTGAGGAGAGGAAAGAGTTGGTTTAGAACAATGATCTGATTGATTTTCTGTACTACTGTATGAATTGCATTGAGTTGTTTGTAATATACCTTGACTAGTAGAATTTTCCATTCTAAACGATTTCACATTTCCTCTGGATTGATCTTCTGGAACTTCGAATGACTTAATCATTGAGTCTGTGGTAAGTGGACAATAACAGTAAATATTGATTACTCAGTGAGTTAATAAACACCAATTAAAAACTTAGCTGTATAGTCACTTTCATTTGGATTCATTTACCATCAGTCTAAAGTTAATCAAAGTCAAAAAGTTTCATCATCTGAGGTGAAACATGATTTACTCTGAAGACTGATAAAAAAAGAGTCTCTGAAGTATTCTGAGTAGTAAGTTCTTTATTCTTGCATTGACTGTGTTAATAGGTTTCAGCTGTATAAAAGTAACTGAGGTGTTGGTTTGTAGGGATTTGACTGATCGGTTACAGGATTTCATCATGAGATGACATTGGTTAGATATAACCATTAGAAAACCTGGGAGTACTGGACAGCTGTTTCGTCCTAGTTTGGGACTTTTCATCAGTACGCACCCACCAGGATTCGAACCCAGGATATTCTGGTTACAAGGCGAGCTCGTAGACCATTAAGCCACTGGGATCCAATCCAACGGCCCGATCCTGGGTTTGAATCCCGATACATGCGTACTGATGAAGAGTCCAAAACTAGGCCGAAACAGCTGTCCAGTACTCCCAGGTTTTCCAATGGTTCTCTAACGAATGTCAGCTCATGATGAAATCCTGTATACAAAAGTAAGCTGAATAAACCTTTCCTATCTCGGAAAAAGCAATGAAGAACTTCTACTGTTTTCTTCTGTCTAAAATGGCAGTATGAATAGTAAAAGACTGAAATTCTCAACGCTTTCAAAAGTGATTTTGATCACATAGAATGTAACAAGCCTTTTTTAACTTGATAATTACTAGATAATATATAAGTCAAACTGTGTATCGTCTAGACTTTTAACGAGATTCGTAGATGACGATATTCCTGATTGCGGCCGACTGGATCATGTTGTAAACTGAGGGTAGCAAAAAGATAAGGGTATCCTGGACGGACAAGAAGACTCTATAGGATATGAACTTGACTGACGATTTATGTCTAATATTGTAACAAAAGAAGGCAAGACACGGGAGCCAAGGTATATTTTTCATTGATCAAACAGCTGTTTATATATCTACAGTTTATATTCGTTAACCAATCAATGAGCGTGTGATTTCGGTTTACATCAAACGACAAGAAATAGAATGTTCAAATATACATAGTATTCTGTTACTAATGCAGTATTGAACTGTGGGAACATATGAGAATAACATTCCATTGGCCCACATTGTCTGTATCACACTACCACAATATTACGCAGACTTAAAGATCTACAGAAGAAAACTAAACAAGTTGGTAGAAGAGTCTGGCAACGAAGACAGGACTTCATTAAGGGGGATATAAAGAAGATAGATGCGATAAAGATACCGACTGAATAACAATAATATTAGGCATCAATCACCATCGACGATGGAAATGTGAAAGAAATCACAGCTTTCACGTGCCTACGGATAAAAATGTCAGAAAAGCAAGACAAGCGTCCATCAGTTTGAAACTGGTGTGGGAATCTGCTGCATTCAGAGTAAGGAAGAAGATCAGGATTTTTAACACTAATGTCTAATTACTCAGGACTTCTGTATGGTTCATGGAATTGGCGCGTGTTTCAAACAGGTCGCTTCTGTCTTCGCTGCATATTGAAAATCAGATGGCTAGAACTGATAAGCAACAAGGAACGGAGGCAACGAACCAAACAATAATTTATCGAAGCAAGAACAACAGTGTTTGCAGAATAATATGGTACCATCATTTATTTCGTTGGCTTCTCATCAGCTGCTTACAGCATGTTAAATGTTTGCAAGCTATAAGCAGCTGATGAGAAGCCAACGAAATAAATGATGGTACCATATTATTCTGCAAATACTGCTGTTCTTGATTTGTCCAAGTTCACAAAGAGGAATAAATTTATGAAGAATTTATCGGTCAACAGGTACGAGAAGGGAATGGAAATGGGTTTGATACACACTGAGTTGACTGTTGGGTAGCATCATGCTGGAGGCAGGCTTCGAAGTGGTACCTGAATAGGAAGCTGAAGATAGGATGCGTGTCCGAGGGTGACATGGAGGAGATCGTGTGAGGAGATAGTAGAAGCCTATGGGCAATTGGGAAGCCAGCTTAAAAGACTTCATAGAAGAGATGTGCTACTGTGCTCCCATATTTCATTTGTAACCCAAAGGAATAATAATAAACAGTCTATTTAGAAGAATAAAACAAAACAAACACCTTAACTTGCGTCGGTGGTATAGCGGTTAGGACGCTCGCCCACCATGCTCATGATCCGGGGTTCGACCGGCGGCCACTGACGCACTCCTTTACCTCGCTAAGCCAGAAATAATGCTGGTGAAGAGGAAAGGTTGGGCATGAGGCTAGCAACCCCATCCTGTAAAAATAAACACTGCTACAGAAACTTCAAACCTGTACCTTGAAGCCCTATGTTCCACTGGGAACGTGAAGGAAAAGAAAAACGAGAAGAAAAACACCTTAACTTACTTGGTCTGTTTGCTTTTTCGTCCATCTCAGCATGCGAGTGATTCAAGCAATTACTGACGTTTCTATCACAAATTTCAGGTCTTTCAGATGATTTTCTATTTAAATGTAGACATGTGGACTTGTCGTACAGTTGATTTTGTGTCTCTGACTTAGACGTTAAATCTATTTCAGACTCTGTGCATCCATATAGCTTGGAGTGATTCCTTGTTAATAAACTGAATTCGTCATTTTTACACAGTGAATTCAAGTTATGGTTCACATGCTGCTGCTGCTGTTGTTGTTGGTCTTGTTGCATCTTAATTTGATCAGATAAATCATCAAGCTTCTTCGTTTCACAGTATTTTAGGCTGTTTAAATCATTTGTTAAAGACTGATGGGCTAAATTAGAAATATGCTCTTTCATGTTATTGTTCTCCTCATTGGTACTTGTATTTGCTTGGTTAAATTGCAAAAAATCATTTCCATTCGGTATAGTAAAGCCATTTGTAGCATTGATGTAATCTGAATGCTGTCTGGAATCACTGTTTTCTGATAAAAAATTATTTCTTATGTTATTGTTAATATTCAACTGGATAGGAGGTGTATGATTATCAGATGACGACGATGAGGTATACCATGATGGCCAATTAGCATGGTGTAATAAATTTGAAAATGTGTCATACATGTTAGCTGATGACTGAAATGAAGGTGACCCTGTAGAATTGTTGCTTACTCCATTCATTTCATTCAAACGCTCCTGATAAACAAGTGAATCGTGTATACTTGAAGGTAGAGCATTTTGTTGAGCAACAGCAACGGCTGCAGCAGCTGCAAATGCAGCTGTATGTGGATGATGGAATCGAGGAGGTGATGTTTGGGGTGATCGAGAAGGCATATTTAACCCTGTCGATGCTTGATTGATTGCTAAAGGGAGTGGACAGTTTTGTTTACTTGGATTTGTTTGATTCATGATTCGATGTAGTTGAGGTGAAGGGAAATCAACCATTGGTAATCGATTTAACGGTAAACTGAGATGATGATTTTGAGGATAAGAATGCTGCATTAAATTCTCATGTGAATGGAGTGAGTGCTTATTAGTGATTGAATTTATTGAATGAACAGTGGGGTGTTCATTTTGTGGGCTGTTAAGTCCAAGTGAAAGCGGAAGTTGATTATCATTACAGACGTTCCGAAGTACTCGGTTAATTGATGATACCTTCAATTTACAGGCAGTAAAAAAGAGAAAACAACACCTGATTAATAGATGTCATTATTAATTGTGATTAAAAACAAGAAAAAATATCATTAAATGAAGCGCTGCACTGCAGAATGGTGAAAGAATAAATTGATATACAAAGTATTTGAATTTTCGTCTTATTCTTCGTCTAGAGAGAAATGGTGTTGTGAACTTCGATTCTTATCTAACTATGCCGTTACTGGGTTAATTTTAATGTAGATTTCGTCATTAACCAACACCGCTTATGGATCATTGAAAACCAAGGAGCACTGGACATTTGTCTCATCCTAGTTTGGGAATCTCCAACAGTGCACATCCACGATTCCATCTGGGGTTGAACCCGAAATCCTCACGTTACAAAACCGAGCTCGTTAACTACTCAGTCAAATGGGCCGAAATTCAATTACCCATGAGATCTAACTTTTGTTAATTCGTGATATAGCGCTACCTTCGGTGAGTGTCCATTTCACCTTGACATGGCAGACCCTACTGGCCACGAATTCTCGGTACAGCTTCAGAATATACATCCAGTAACCATTGGATTAGTTGAGAAAATGGCCTCAGTTAATTTTAATATCTTCTAAGTAGAGTAATTGCTAAAGGTTGATATTTAAGAAACAGATATCCACATCAGAACTATAACAGTTAGCTTTTCGGTGTAAAATTCACTATGCATACGAGCAAACAGTGCCTTTGCCTTTCCTTAGGCACTGTGAAGAGCTCAAGTGAAGGAGGAATAGAAACATTTGGTCTTTCAGTTGTTACAATATTCACTAATCAATACAGTAGTCTGTCTCATTCAATCCTATTCTCAGAAAAAAATACAAGTAGGATAATGTGGTTACGCTGAGGACGCTTTGCCTTTTAATGACCAGTGGGTTTTCTTCTCGAAAGTGTATCACTTATACTTAAGAGTTCTACATTCTACTCAAAAGACTAGTTCGTTGAGATTCATTGATTTTATCAGTTTAATCATTACCCAAACGACGGTTCAGTGGTAAAATGCTCGCTGACTACATCTGTAGTCCAAAGTTCGATTCCCCGGTGACTCAGTCTGGTCTACCAGATGGTAGTCAGCCTGGAAGAGATGGGAGGTTGGGTTCGAGGTTAACAGCAACAAAAAAACACCAGTGCTACCTAAACTTCATAGCTGGAAGCCGTGTATTCCACTCAAAATACAAAAGGATAAAGATCAATAAAGTATGCAAACATCACTAAAAATTGTTCACTCAATTTTTTGTGATATGGTCATTTGATTTTCTGTTTATTTCAACTAATCTAATAAGTCATATCTGATTTATGTAGAAGTAAACAGTCCACTGGCAGTATACTAACAAGTCGCCTTTTTTTTATTTCCAGTACAGACCTTATTATTCTCAAGATTTTCCAAAAACCAAAGGTCTTATAAACGGTAATAAAAAAAAAAACAAATTTATCTCCCGTATAATATGAAATGTATTCATGTGTAAATAATAGTAGTAGTAGTAATAATAATAATACACTTTAAGCTGAACTTAAATTCTTAAATTTAAAGGTATAGAAGTTTTTTCTTTCTTTTAAAAAAAAACCCAAAACAATGGTCACTTGAATAGTCATAGTCCTCTTAATGATTGTGTTGTAACAATCATCTTAATTGTGATAGTCATTCATATTGTGATCGCTTGACTGATTGATCATTAGGATTAAAATCCTGATCCAAATGTCACAAAAACGAATGAGAACGAAGTAGAATAGAATCCAATAGGACAGAGAAAGAGAGAAAATGGAGGGGGGGCAGTAAGAAGGAAAGAAGAAGAAGAAGAGGGTGGTGGGTTTGTCTACTCAACACTGACGACTGCATTAATCAATTGGCCTATTTTTCCTCCATTCTCTTTATCGTATTAGTCCAGTGTACATAAATCCATCAGATACATACAGATTTTTTGCCTTGAAAGGAAATGTCATTTAGTTTTTTTGTGTCAGTGTGATTGAAAGAATGATTATAAAATTGAGAACTACTCAGGGTTTAATAAATCAATGAATTCGTTTCTTTCATTTTTGTTTTTCTGTTAGTGTTGATGCATTCTAGTTTATATTTGATATATTAGTTATAATTTTAATTGAATCTTGGTATTATTTTCTCTCTCAATGCATTACTTGTGAGTAGAAGAATTCATTTTATTTTATTAAATCTTAGTCATATTAGTCAAACTAACTAATTACATTGAATGTATGAATAAATGATCAATCGTATATATATACAAGAAAATCATTATAAAGCAGTTTTGAAATTGATTAATAGTTAAATTAGGCTAGTTATTACCTAACTAGTGTTGGTGGCTACATTTAGACAAGATGATTGTGAGGCTGGATGACAAATTCTGTCAAAGAAAGATTTTGTGTTAAACGATGACTAAAGTCAGGTTAGGAAATGTTTAATTTTTCAACTGTATAGTTCTACTCATAAGACGTTTTTGTGGGGAGACATTTATTTCTTTATTTGAGTTTGACTACGGATTTATATCAGTTAGAGAATCATTGAAAACCAGACACAGGGAGTACTCGGAATCATCGGCAGCACACACCCACCACAGAGTGTTCGAACGCATGACCTTCCGGTTACAAGTCAAGCTGGCTCGTACACCATTAGGCCACTGGAACCTAATTCAATGACCAACACATGAATTATAACTTCTACCAATTCGTGATTTCGCGCGACTGGCACCAACCACTGTCGTCGGTGGGACACCCATCCTCACTCCCTACTGGATGGACCTCACTGGTCACGACTTCTCAGTGGAACTCCAGGTGACTTCGTCCTGTAGGGAGTCACTAGCGATTATTATTATATTATTGTGTCCTTTAATTCCTAGAGGAACATAGGGCTTCAGCTGTGCGTCTCCACTGAGTTCGGTTCTCTGCTAGAGTCTTCACCTGGCTCCATGTCTGCCCACACGTTTTCATCTCCTCTTCATATGACCTCCTCCAAGTCACCCTTGCACTGACGACCAACTCGCCGCTTCCCTTTCGGGTTCCACTCGAGCAATGGCTTGTCTAGTGATGTCACTTGATTGTTTCCTCAGAGTATGGCCAGCCAATCCATCTCCATTTCCTTCTGCATATTTGTTTCACAATCGGTTCCTGGTTGGTTCGTTCACTAGCGAGCATCAGACTAATTTTCAAGAATTCTTGAATATTTATTTATTTGTCAGAAGAGGAAAAATTATATAACTACTGAATTATTTGTAATTTCTAGTAGGTTCATGTTCATTCTACTGGAAAATATTCACTTTAAAAAGGTTCATTGTTTTAATTCTAGCCTTGTTGAAGAGTTATTCATATTTATTATCATTTAATGTCATTACTACTGGGGAAACAACAACAACAAGAAAGAAAACTCAATCTGAAAACTTTATTCTTTCTTCTACTGGTACTCATTAGAATGTGTACTAGTTACCTGTACACTTCTTACACAAATAGCTCAGTTCAAGTAGGGTAGATTGAGACGTAGTTCCTCAGGTCATTTACTTATTGTCTTATCATTAAATTAATCAGACATGTAACTATTAATATTAACGATAATAAAATTTATTTTTATCTCTTCAGTTATAACGCTACTTGTATTACCATTCGGGCATAAATTGTCTCATCTTCAAATCAATGTTATGAAGCTTTATAAGAAAAATGGATGAAATACAAAAAAAGGAATTCTTTCGTATTTTTTAAGGAACACAACCTCAAAAACTTCTCTGAACTGGCTTTTTCCATCCTTTTTGTTCGCCTACCTCATTTTTCTGCCTTACTACTTACTATAAGTGGTTATAGTTCACCTGTGCCTAGTTGTTTAAATTCGCCAAACACCCCTTTCCTCTTTTTAGCGGTTAAATCATACATCTGTATATGCGCACAAACGGACAAACAAATATGTTCATTGCAAAATAAGGTGAGAAGAGTAGGATCTCATCTTTTGCGTAAAAATATATATATGTATATATCTGCACGCAATGGTGTACAGTGAATACGAAAGAGAAAAAATCCAGTTGTATATTAATATTATTATTACTACTGAAGAGAGAACAGATTTTAAAATATAACTCATCAAGGGATGACCATATGTCTGTATAAGACATGCAGAACTATATGCTTCACTTGTTTACACCAAACATTTGTTAACCTATCTCACCGACTATTTTTCTTATAAGATATGTCCGTTACTAATTCAATTTTAACTTTAGCTTGAATGGCGAATAGGACTTTTCAACATAAATGAAATTCTTTCATGGTTTAAAGAACAATATTTTAAATATAAGCTTTATCTATGCAGTAACAAATAATGTCTGTTCTACCTGCCGATGACAGTGACTGGTAGTCGAACTCTATGTTCAAAAGAAACAAGTCCAGCCCCTACTACTGCCCTGGCCCTCAGTAGAAACTATAAACTCATGAATTTGTACTATTATCTTTCATAATTCTTCTGACATTCAGCTTATTTTATGTTGATGCTGTTCAGCTGTAACCTATCAATATTATTAATTTGATGTTATTTAAACATTAATGTCGTTCATAATACTAATTCATTCATTATAATGTATATATAATTGTAGAACCTGATGATGAATTTATCGAAAAGAGTACTCTTTGTTCCATGTCCATTCTTTTAAATATATATCGTAAATTGAGAGAAGTTAGAAGAGATGGATTGGTCAACGAACTCACCACCTTGTAACACGAAAGTGTGTCGGTGGCACAGGGGTTACGACTCTCGCCGATCAGGTACATGGTCCGGGGTTCTATCCCCAGCCGACGCACACCTGGTATCAATTCGTCGGCTTGCAAAATTTGAGCTACCGATATCGCAGGCTGAAAATTCCATACTTGTACCAAAAATACTGTGTGGTTTCAAGCTATAATGAAAAAAAGTCCTGGGTTCTATACCCAGTTGGATCATGGATGTGCACTGTTGAAGAGTCGCAAACAAGGATGAAACGGGTGTTCAGTGGGGCTTTAACTGAAGTCAGTTTGTAATCAATTTTGAAATAAATCAAGTTCTTTCATGGTTTATGTATAATATTCTAAGTATAAACTCTATCTGTGCTGTAGGAATTAATAGTAATTCAAAAAGTTGACAGTGAAAAGAGAAGGAAAGTAAGAACAAGAGATTACGACATTAATCAAAGTAGCAGGAGAGTGAGCAAGCGGGTGAGCGAGCTAGCGAGAAGGAGATTGTTCTTATGCGTAAAACAAGCATTGTAAATTACAGTATGGCAGTTTTTTCTAAACATCTAATATTGATAAACTCTAACTAGCTTTCGGAATAAGTGAATTGACTATATCGAGTTAACATACTAATGTATAGGCATAGATTACCGGATGATAATAATATGCACTAAATAACTTTTTATAAATCAAAAGAAATATATAATATTTCTTTATTACTAATATAGACATTTCCTCCACTCAATATAGATATTATCATGACAGGGATTTTCGATTATTGTATCGGAATGCATTTAGAGAAGTGCTTAGACTGAATAGATACAGCAGGATGGTGATAGTAAACGGAAGAGACTATATACATGGCTGGAGTAAATAATCCTATTCCTGTCGATTACTATTTAACCTATTATATTATTATTATTATAAAGGTAGACGAGCAGCCGGAATACTCAATCAAAAGTGTGACCATGACGAGCAGTTCACTATTTGCCCCTTGTATGTTTGCTGAATCAGTAGCTGTGGTTGATATCGCTTTCAGTGGAGTGTTTTTCCTGATTATTATTATTATTATTATTACTAATATTCTTATTGTCGTCCTAGTTGGTCTTTTCTTTACATAATTTTATGCTTAAATTATTCTTTAACAATTTTGAAAACTTTCCTGTTTCCTGTTTTTAATAGAACAACACTATACCTTTTCGTTTTATATAAGTTTGTTTCACTAATTCTACACTCTCTTGCTTACTCCTTTACCTTTCTCTCCTACTCTCTTATTTGCTTTTTTTTAAAAGAGACTTTTTCACTCCGAATCAGATTTCCGGAGTGTTGGTTGTCGAAGTTATTATTATCATTATTATCTGTTTTGCCTTTTTCATCCAAAAAACTCTCCACTTTTCTAATCGTCATTACTTATTATATTGTCTTGTTGTTTTGGTCGACCGATTTTTGTCGTACAATTTCTCTCTTCAACTGATATGAAATATTGATTAAAATAGTAGTAATAATGATAACACACACACACACACTTACTTATTATTATTTAGTAAGGTTGTTAAAGTTTGATTCTCTTAAGTTGAAGTTTTCCAGTCTCATAAACAACCATTATCATCCAAGTGACTAAAGTATTCACTCACTACGATATATATACAACACACATTTAGATACAGACGAAATATGAGCTAATGGTGGGTGGTATATACATTCCTCTATACTATTTATTTCATAGTTCTTTTTTTACGCGTATTCCATCGACAAAATATCTATCATAGATTCCATCTATCATACGTGATTAATACCTCACAACAAAAACCAACGTTTACTGCTACGGAGCATTGTCTCAACTACAGGAGGAACGGACGAGGATGTCAAATCGAGAATCGGGAAGGCGAGAAACACATTCATCAACCTGAAACCAATCTGGAAATCTTCGTCACTCAGCCTACATCAACAACAAAATTCGGATTTTCAATACAAACGTCAAGTCAGTCAGTTCTTCTATACGGATCAGAAACTTGGTGGGTCACAAAGAATATTTCCAACAGCCTGTTGCAGACCTTTATCAACAGCTGTCTTCGCTCTATACTACTGAAGATCAGATGGCCGGAAAGAATCACCAACAAGAAACTATGGGAACAAACGAAACAAGAACCAATCGCTCAACAAATATGCAGGAGAAAGTGGAGATGGATTGGACACTCGCTGAGGAGGCCGTTGGGTGACATCGCGCGTCAGGCCAGTGCTCGAGTGGAACCCGAAAGGGAAGCGGCGAGTGGGACGTCGGTGCAAGGGTGACATGGAGGAGATCGTGTAAAGAGGAGTTGAAACAGTATGGAATAACATGGATGCAGGTGAAAAGTACAGCAGAAGACAGAAACAAGTGGAGACGTGCAGTTGAAGCCCTATGTTCCACTAGGAACCCAAGGGAACAATAATAATAATAAATAAAATAATGATTATAAGTAAAGAAAACTGTCTCTTGTATATGAGATCGTTTAGTCAAGAGTATTAAACACCTCCAGATATCTTGGTCTGACTAACAGATGACACAGTTTACCCAAGAAGACAGTACTAACTGAATAATGCTTCAGAAATGCAGAGCAACTAATAGTTGGCTTAATCACACATTCTTTACAGTGAATATCTTTAATCTATTATGCATCTATTAAAAGCAAAGCTCGATTTATTAATGAGTGAGTTAACTGTAAGCTTTTCCAGATGACTTCCTTGGTCGTCACAAGATACTTTAATAGTTTATGAGTAACTGTTATTCCGGGTATCTGTCTACAGTAGCCTTTACTAATGTTGCAAGTCATAACTTTAAGACTTCAATTGCACAGCCGTTAGACAGATCACTAAATAAAAGCTGACAACAGGTTTGAACAGTATAATTTCTACAGTTTTGAAATAACTCCAGTCGAACATTTAACTTATCCTATAGTCTCTGTTTAAAAATCCTTTGAATGCACATGTCATTCTAATGTCTGCAACAATAACTGTCCAAAATATATTTAATCTTTTTAATTAATAGTTAGTCAGTGTGGTTAATTCACGAAGGTATACTGTCACAGAATTCACTAGGTCTTTGTTGTATTCGAAAAATCTCTAGTATTTATTCATGAGAAAAACTGTTCAACATTTGATTCAGATAACGTTAAATATTCGGGTGGGGATAAAATCGGTCGTGAGGTATTTTCGTGCATATATTTCAACAAAACGTAAAATCTGATATCATTAAAGCATTCTACTAAGCACATAATACAAAATTACATGAAACCCTACTACCTGAGAAAATTCAAATCATGATTGATCACCTCCATTCTGCCTATTCAAGTATACTGAAACAAAAGCGGGACAAGTTTGTTTTCCAATAACTTACATCTTCAATCTAAATATTTGATTTAAGAAAGTAGTGAATGTAATGTGTAGGCTAAAAATCTCTGTGTAAACTGTTTTCTTCTACGAGCAATACATTATTTGCTTAGAATTTAACTGGTGGATGGTGACTGGCAGTGGAATCCAGGATGCACATTTCTTCCTATTTTGAACTCCTCAACTGGATGTACCTGCATTCCCCAGTGAAAATTCAATTAAACACTCTTTGTTTGTCTAAAGTATTTGTCACGGCAAGCCTAAAATCAAGTGTTGTTAGGGTATTGACATATCATGTGGTGATAATATGCGTGCATAATTATCTCCTGAGGTGGAGGGTTTCGAAAAGAATCTGAACCAAAAGGACTTATTTTAATAATCAGTTTTCAACAAAAGACTGATTTATTATTCGAGTTTGATCACTGATTGATATCAGCTAGAGAACAAATGAAAATCAGACACAGGGAGTACTGGACAGCCAACTGTTTCATCCTAGTCTCGGAATCATCGACAGTACACACACACCACAGGGGGCTCGAACCCGGTTACCAGTCAAGCCTGTACGTAGACCATTCAGTCACTGGGACCCGATTCAATGACCAACACATGAATTCTAACTTCTACCACTTCGTGATTTAGCGCGACTGGCACCAACCACTGTCATCGGTGGGAACTCCATCCTCACTCCCTACTGGATTGACCTCACTGGTCACGACTTCTCCCTAGAACTCCAGGTGACTTCGTCCTGTAGGGAGTCACTAGCGAGCATCAGATTAATTTTCAATAGTTGATTTGTAAGGATTAGGTTCACTTTTCGAGTTTACCGACGGAACAAATTCAAACTCGTGAAACAAACCTAATCCTTACAAATCAACTATTGAAAACTTATTTGTTAGTTGGAAAAACAGGCTGTATCTTTCATAATAGAAGTTATCTGTTTGCCAGCAATTTCCCTTTTAAACACTACCTGATTTTCTGAATTAAGGTACGCTACATGTTTCCTCTATTACATATTTGTATCTCTGATGCGTTCTAAACGACAAGCAGTGTATATAGAGTTGCACACCGGTAACGTCTCTGACTGCAGCACTGAGTTCGAATCTCAGAAGGGACATGAGTTCCTTGAAGGTTGCAGATACGCCTTACTGAATGGTGAGTACCGACTAATACGGAACCTAGTTCCAAGGCTTCCAGTGGCCGATTGCCTCCAACCATCTAATATGCACTACTACTGTTTATCAACAAGTACTATATAAAGTTATTTGTGATAAACTTGTGGCTAATTTAAGCAAACCACAATCAAATTTATAACCACTTACACTGGGAATGTTTTCTGTTGTACAAATACCTTCTTGTAGTAGACGATCTCTAATTTCCCAGGCAAAAATTGACGGACATTCTCTTTTATAATGTGCTATTTTTAAAACTACTAAATTTGTAGCCACTCTCGGCTTACTACCACCGATTGCTTTTGGTCGAATTGAACCAGTTTCATAATAACGGCATAATATTTTTGATACACATCCATTTGAAACTTGTAGGATTCGTGATATATCACATGGTCGGGCACCTGAATGTGCTAATTCAATAATACGTTGACGTGTTGTATCTGGCAATGGTCTGCCATTGACAAACATTCCACCCAATTGATTTACTCCAGAATGACCTACAGATGAAATGAAAAAGGAAAAGAATGAAGAGAATATCTCAATTTTTATTTAGTCAACCTTGAAATGGACTTAGAGTAAATTGTGTTTTAATAAATTGAGTTTTATAATTTTACGTTCAAATCCATAGGCAAGCAGTAATATGAGATGAATATGCTACACCAGTTATATCTTTTCTGATTACACGGAATAAATCAGGTACCTGTCATATCAGGGAAGTATCATGTCGTATTTGGTTTTCCGCATGAAGTTTCTATAGTCTCAGTCACTCACTATTGTCGAAGCACACTCAACCTACGAAGTTTACATTGAAATTAATCCAGATCTTCACAAAAACCCATAATTTAAATACCAGTCTCCAGCTACTACACAACTACTGGATGGAAGTCCTGAAGCTTCACTGAGAAGTTGTGACCAGTGGGGCCCCGTTATTTTGAGTGTATTGGTTGAAAGTAAAGCTATATGATGAATTAACAGTAGTTGAAATTCACAGGTCACTGAATTCCGGTCCAACTGGATGAATGGTCAGCAAGCTCACCTTGTCACCTGAAGGTTCTGAGTGCAGTCCATGGTGTGGTCATAGGTGAGTACTGTTGAAGAGTGGCTAACAAGGACGAAACAGCTGTCGAGTGCTCCCTGATATTGGTTCATGATGAAATCTACATTGTAATTAGTCCAAATCCTTACAAATACCCATAATCTAGAGTATTCATCTTCTGATATTAGTAACTGGATATAGGTGAAATACTGTTCAGTTTTCAACTAGTAAAGTTTATTAAAGCTTTTCCTTCAAATTCAACATAAATCAGAAATATATTTTTGGAGACTTTACCAATAAGAAACTATAGCTGCAGAAAGAATCGGTCCATATACCAAATAGGAGAGAAACTAGAGGTTTGCTTGTTGAGCTATAAGTTGTAGCTGTCAAAAAAGAACTCTCACTTTTGGATATTTAAATAATTCTTTAGTTAAGGTGAGTATATCAAGAATGTATAAGAGTAATAGTGAAACTAATAGAGTCCAACAGTTGTATCGGAACCTTATCTTCAAGAAAAACATTTTCAGTCTAATATGTTTTAATGCAACACAGAATAGTTATGCCAAGCAATGTAAAAGAAAAGTGCTGAAGCAAAAATGATAAATTACCACCAATGGCTGTGTAACAATGCCAGGAGTTAAAATGATAAGATTATTTATTAGTATCATTATTATTCCCTTGGGTTCCGAGTGGAACATAAGACTTCAACAACACATCCCCACTGTGTTCGATTTACTGCTGTCCTCCTCGCCTATATCCACGATTGACCAATCTTTCATCTCATCCTCACACTATCTCCTCCATGTCACCATTGGACAACCTACTCGTCATTTCCTATTTTGATTCTACTAGAGTGATGGCCTGCAGTGCGCGATGTCATTCGACGGTCTCCTAATCGTATGCCCAATCCATCTCCACTTTCTCCCACATATTTGTCGGACGATAAGTTCTTGGTTGAGTTTTTTTGCCAGAGTTTCTTGTTGCTAACCTAGCCCGCTAGTTTTCTAACCGGTTCTAAGCCCGGATAAAGAGGGAGGGTTGGAAGTGGGGCTAGCCATCCTACCCCAGTAAACCAATCAAACTGCTACCGAAACTTCAATGCATAATAAAAAATATTAAAAATGAAAAAAATATCACAAGACGGAGTTTTTAAATGAGCTTCTGAACAGCTACAGTAATAAGCCTTCAGTTTAATAGTCCCTGGTATATTCTCGACAAATTTTAGAATTCTATCATGACCTCGTAACTGAAGTGATGTATCTCAGTTACCACAAATTTCGGGAATCCTTTGCACTACTTTAATTGGACACTAGTCAGTAACTAGTGTAATGTATCTAGTCTTTTGTTTGGTGCCAACAAGACTTCCTTCCGATTGCTACCAACCACCTAATTTTTTGCAATGCCAATATTATAAGCTTTTTCAGAATTAGATGCCATATCACCTAATATTTAGGTGAATGGAGAATTTATATTCTTTTCCTTTCGTTTTCTTTATAAGATCTAGAGAAACTAGGTCTCATAAGTATATCACTTCTTAGAGAAATGATCACTGATGCATTTATTCTTAATTTATTGTGAAATTCGTTTACATAAGTTATATGCCTATTCTGAATAAATTTGTTTGTCGAGTATACGATGAATCTGGGCTATCTAGTGATATCTGGCTTGCTTACTTACTTAATTGTACTTTCTGTTAGAAGTGATTTGAATTCACTTTATGGCGGTTGGTATTTCAGTGATAGAATACTTGCAAACCGTACACATGGTCAGGGGTTCGATCCCCGGTCGACGGAAGGTTTGGCATGAGACTATCAATCAATCCCACCTCGTATAAAATAAACACCCCTGTCACTGAATCTGCGAAGCTTATGCTTGAAGCTCTGTGTCCCACTCGGAACACAAAGGGATAAAGTAACAAAAAAGTACTGTGGCATTGTGCAATTCCATGGTAGACTAATTTTGCTTGATGCTACGCATAGCATTTTATTATGTCGTTAAGTTTACTGTGATGGTCGACGAAAATCATCCACTAGGAATCTCCCTTTTAATTCCCACGAACCACAGAAACACTTGTACTTGAAAATATACTTCAGATTAAGGTTATCAAGTATGTGTCGAATAGCTTACCTCTCTTTAATTTTTGTCGACAGTTATCTTCAATACTGTCTATAGATGAATTGTCCATACTCAATGTACTTAGTCCTGTGGAAAGAATGAAGAAAACATTAGAAATTTAATATAAGGGTAGATATACCTTCCAAACAGTAAATTTAACTATAGCAGGATATTTGTGGCATACATAATGAAGATAAGAAATTTTTTTCTTTCCTTCAAATAATTTAGTACTGATGGAGTCGGGTGGCCTTTTATTCAAACATTTTTTCAAAAAAAAAGAAGAAACCTAAAGGAATACTGAATTATTCTTATAGTGGGCCTAAATTATTCCACTTATAAAGAATGAGGGATTCAAGTTCAAAGTCAAAGATAGTGATTTAGCGTATATCACAACTTCCGATGACTAATTTTCATTAGTAACGGATATACATGAGTATTAGTAATTTTAGATAGTTGGAGGCAATCGGCCACTGGAAGCCTTGGGGCTAGGTTTCGTGCTAGTTGGCACTCATCAGCAAGGAGTATCTGTAACCTTCAAGGAACTCATGTCCCTTCTGAGATTCAAACCAGCGTCACCCATGTCAGTTAGAGACGTTACCACTGAGCTATTCGAGCTCGCGATTGACCTCCTGTAGGACTGTAGTGGGTATTTTGATTGGACACTAGTAACTAGTGTGACGTATCTAGTCCTCTCCTTGGTGCAGACTGAATTCTATCAGTCAGGTATTTGCAATGTGGCCACCATTCTAGGTAGCTCGCCATCAAACTGTTAAACACAGTTCAAAATAACAAACTGATGTTAGATTTATTTAATGTCACTGTTGAATATGTTGTCCAGAATGACAGGCAAAGATTCACTACTCAACTGTCTACCTCAGAAAATACATCAACCTCCAAAAAAATTATATTTCTGTATCGACTGTTTTATTAACTGTATTACTCAGTAAAATTTATTAGTACAACAGAAGTTCATATTCAGTCATTTGAAACAGATGAATGACTGAAAGTTTTATTAGATGACATGTAATATTATTATTATCCCCTTGGGTTCCATTCTCTGCTGTCATTTTTAGCCGACTCCATGACTGACCGTAAGCTCTCATCTCCTCCTTGCATGATCCCCTGCATATGTCACCGTTGGACTCATATCCAACTCATCGTTTTCTATTCAAGTTCCATTCAAAAGTCTATCTCAAGCATGATGTCATTCGACGATCTCCTTAGAGTATGTTCAATCCATCTCTGCAGATTACTTTTTAATTCTAAATTATTCGTTGAGCAGACCTTCATATGGGACAAATACAATAATAATTCATGCTTTTCAAAATCATAGTTTCCCTACATCCCTTCATTTTTGAATTTGATTTTAAATCTCACTACAATTATCACCAGATGAATACTGGGTTTATCCAAGCAGTCGTTAGGTACTTCTTGTCCTACAGCTGATTTCATTATCTACTTAACTATCAGTTCAACAGGGGAATCTTGTATCAAATGAGTTTTTTTATTCTTCAGTATTCAAAGAGGAGTTCTAGGCTTACTTGGTTTAAGATTATTTATCTCTTTTTTCAGTATTTAAAGGGTGCACCAATAAACAAGTGCTTTCACAAGTTTATGCAGCCCTGACGATGTTGCAAGTTATTACTGTAAAAAACTTACAAGGAAGTGGTAGCATTTGTTCTGACCTCCACAAGGTATTATTCGATACTCTACTAAGTTTCTTTTGGTAATGAAATGACATCAAATATGTTAGAAGTAGGAACACACGAGACAAGATATTCGGTTATACAGACAGTTTCTTATTCGAGGAAGTTTCAGTGAATAACAGAGAATGTCTTCATAATAACTATTTTAAGTTGGCAGTCATTTTAACCCTTATGGAATTTATAATATAGAACTGAATTGACTTGGGTTCACTTTATGACATTAGGTTGTACTACCTTAGATAACCACTGGGTAGAATCACGGTGACGTTGTATGCAAATCAGCCTCAGCGTTCGGTCATGTTGTTCCCTGAACTATTAGCATCAGTTTAAGACACCTACTAGCAAATACATTATAGTAATAATCACAGATTTCAGAAAACAATCTAGAACAATAACTGGAATCGCCAAGCTTCTTTGTGATAAAAAGATCCAGTCAATTCGACTTACATTACTACTGAATCACTGACTAACTGCTGAATATTTTTTGTCTTTGAAGAAAAGTGAAATAACTAGCAAGTGTTTACTTTCAGTTCATGCTACAAAATTTAATATCTCTCAATTTATTCTACCGGGAAGAGACGTAAGTGGATAACTAAACCGGACAGCAATCACAATCATCAGATATAGTTGAAAGAATATAGATAAGTGTGAAAATCTAGAATACGACCAACTTTGAAGGAATGTTTTTCTGGTACCAATTACCTTATCACGTAAAGTCAAACAAGTCTATTATTAATTGTTCTCACTATAACTACTTTTAACTTTTGCTTTCCTCTTCTTCTTAAGATGAAGACAATTATTTATTGAATTCACTGTTAAGTATTTAAAGTTTTATTGGCCTTAGGCTATTTGTCACGACGGCTGTCAGACTTCCCAGTCAAACATTATTCTGTCATTATTGTAGTAGTATCTAAGGCAGATTCAAATACTTCAGGCAGCTTTAAGTTGTTTCACAAATTCAGATGTCAGGTATATTCACATTCAGTGTTTGTTTCTACCATACTCTCTTGATCTCCTATATTTGCCTGATCATGCCCACAATGTATATTTATATTTCTTTTCAAACTTCCGTGTAATGATTAGTCTTTTTATTATTATTTTTTGACTATAGCTTGATTCCACACAGTATTATTGGTACAATTATGGAATTTTCAACATCTGATATCGGTATGAACGGTTTGAAAAAATTTGGGCATTGGGTATATGATATTAATTATAGTAAAGGTTTTTGTATTTCCCAATGAATGAAAAACAAAACAATATTGTTTTTACTGACGTTTCGCTATTTAATGCTAATAGCTTTATCAAAGTATTATTAAACCGGAATTTACAAAATCTCAGCTTATATATAAGAGTTAATAGCCCAAATTTTGCATGCCGACCAATTGATATCAGGTGTGCGTCCGCTGGGGATCGAACCCCAGACCATGTTCATGATCGGCGAGATCCCTAACCCCTGTGCCACCGACGCACTTGAGGAGGAACTTTTAGGCTGGGAATAAGCCTTCCAAGTTAGTTATACCACTTCTGTTTGTAAACCTTGATGACATAGACTAGAATTTCACACATGGAGATGGTTACATCACTTCTGAGATATGGATTCTTGATTCGTATTAACAATAGCGAAAAATTAATTCGATATTTGTAGACTTCGACAGATTCTTTGCAAGTACTCAACACTGAATAAAAGATTTACCACACACATTATTCGTTTACTTGAACACTTGAATAACTAACACAGAATCTGTACAAAAGCTACAGTTTTCTGACAAGACTCACTGCTATTATACTTGATCGAATTCGTGTCTTTTTTGTGTGATTACATTAAGCCTGGTACATAAAACAACAAAATAAAAATAACTCTACTGTGAACTCACACCATCAGCGGTATAAATATTGATTTTAAGTGAGAGTTTCGCGCACTTCTCATATATAGTTAAGCATGGAGTTTCAGTAACTAAATAACATATTATGACTTGGAATTAAAATTCACAATTTAGTAAAATAATCATGAAATAGATACATTTGTGTTCTTTTTCACGCATTCTGATAATGTATTTATGAGGTTTTATTCCTCTTATATTACATTTAAATTTTTAACATGTGTAGAAAATGCAAGGGCCATAAGGACATTAAATCAGTTTATGAAGACTCTAAATATTGATTTGGATCTGTCGGTACAGTAAAGATTGTCTTTTAGGGGTCCGCAAGATAAGCGAAAACTATTTTCAATGACCTGAAACGATGCAATTCAGAATCGACTGTGGCAGAGTAGACAGATTCACACTATATCTTAAAAGATTCATTATACTTCCTTATTTATTTTGCGCCGTTTTTACAACTCTCAGATATTATTTGATTCACAGTCTTTCGTAAAATTATTTAGTTCCTAAGTAGATGTAACGTACAACGATGCGAACCGTAAGTCAGCTATGCAACATATACAATGCTCATAATATCTGTTCGTAAAATGACTTACTTAGACTGATGTAAGCTGTGAAATACTTCATTGAATATTATCATATATAGCTGGTTTGTAAGGATTAGTTTTGTTTTTACGAGTTGATCACGGATTGATATCAGTTAGTGAGCCATTGAAAACCAGACACAGGGAGTACTGGACAGCCAGCTGTTTCATCCTAGTGTCGGAATCATCGTCAGTACGTACCCACCACAATGGGTTCGAACCCACGACCTTCCGGTTACAAGGCAAGCTGGCTCGTAGACCATTCAGACACTGAGACCCGATTCAATGATTTAGCGCGACTGGCACCAACCAATGTCATCGGTGGGACATCCATCCTCACACTTGACTGGATGGACCTCATTAGTCACGACTTCTCACTAGAACTCCAAGAAACTCCGTCCTGTAGGGAGTCACTAGCGAGTATCAGATTAATTTTCTATAGTTGGTTTGTAAGGATTAGTTTTTTAACTATTATTATTATTATTATGCAATTTATAAGTATGATCCCAAATTCAAGATCATTTACTTTTTTAAATTAGAATTTGTTGTTTCTAAATTAGAAGGGCAACATACAAAATGATATACAAGTTCCTGTTCAGCTCTTTGAGCTGTCTTTTTCATGAAGTTCACTTATACTTCAGTACAAATCTTCACACACCTTCTCCCATTTCCATACTACATATAAAATTCCTTGAAATATGAATGCTCATTTATTCTATGATGACTGATATTATACAATGACAACTTAATTCTCCCACAAGATTATTATTATTCAAACTACCTTTATATATTTCGTCTTATCTCAGATTTGCTGATTACACCATGAAATCCAGAAATTGAGATTTGAAATGATTATCATTTGTGACTAGGGTTGGTCTCTAGTAAAATCTTTGGTCCTGCCCCGTGAATGAAGTAGCTTTGCATTCGTACCAACAGTAAGACAGGATACATACCTACTTATTTAGCGTTGGTAGGTGTGAAGATTAGTTTTAATACCTACTGATGACTTATCTGTAGTATTAATATCATTTATATTTATATAAACTTGAGTTTTGAATATCTAAAGAAGACTTGTGCCGTATAAAAAAGTATTCACCGTATTTTTCCTAATGGAAGCAATAGAACTGTCTCTAATAAGTACAGAGACATTATTTTTACTGGTTTCTCTTTCTATGATATATTTTTATTTATTTATAATATTTTGATTATAGCTTGATTCCACATAGCACTTTTCGTACAAGTTAGAAATTTTCAGCATGTGATATCGTTAGTCTAAATTATGCAGGCCGACCAATTGATATCAGGTGTGTGTCGGCAGGGGATCGAACCGCGGACCGTGTGCATGGCCGGCGAGAGTCCTAACCGCTGTGCCACCGATGCTCAATATGATATGTTAATATGGCTTTTTCTTTTTCTACTGTAACTCCTAAGCCAAAAGATCACTGAGTCGGATTGATTAAGAATCCTGAGTCATTTCTCTTTGCATTGATTTATGTGCCATTTTTATACATTATCAACTACTGGTATTTAAGTCTAATTCAGCATTCACCATCAAACTACAGAAACCGACAAATCATCAGAAGTAAAAATCTATAGATTTTCATGGATTTTGTGGGTAATTCATTGGTAAGGAGCATTTTTTAAAATTATATAGTAACTTTTGTTTAAGTCAATTTTATATTCCTCGTTGTACGACAGGTGGCTATCGTTTCTCAACTGATGAAGTGGAGTTTCTCAATGGAAACACCATCAGTCACTGGGAATTGCAGCTAAATACAGTTGACAAGTTGCGAATGGGACGAAATGCTCATCAAAGATTCCATTGCTAATTACCGTATACAGAAATCTTATATATTCATTAAGAATTCATCCTGTCAACAGCCTTATTTGCATAGGTCAACTAAGCTTGTGTAACTATTCAGATTAAATAAGTGAGACTTCACTTTGTTATATACCGCGTGAATATGAGCTAATTTAATCACAATTTGATATTCTATAGTTAGCTTGTAGGGATTAGTTTTGTTTTTACGACTTGGTCAAGGATTGATATCAGTTAGAGATCCATTGAAAACCAGGGTGCTTACTCCCGATGATTCTCAAAATAGGACGAAACAACTGACTGTCCAGTACTCCCTGTGGTTGTTTTTCAACCGTTCTCTAACTGATATCAATCCGTGATCAACTTGTAAAAACAATATGATGTTATTTATTTCAACATAATAACTAGTTTTCTCAGATGACAGCAGTTCTTTTTACCAATTTTCTTCTATCAGGCAAGAGTGAAGAGGGTTATGTATTTCAACAGAGTAATTCTAAAAAACGTATTCAGATTCGTAGGTCACATCCACTGTCCCGAAGGTCTTACATTAATGTAGTTCTTGAATAGCAATCAGTTGTATTAAGCATTAACTCTTACGTAATATTTAAAACAAAACCAACTCATATATATATATATGAAATTAAATAAAAAGTGCATACCTGATTTAATTTTCATTTTGAATATTAGGAAATACACTTCACAGTTATTTCCATTCAATAGAACGATGTACATATACGTACACGCACACAGGACTCACAGTCAACTGTAATCCACCGTTGAGGTAAAAAGAAAACTTGTTCAACCAAGAGTCTCTTTGAAATGTATGATTAAAATATTAGTTATGATGATATGTTGTAATTCACAAAGTTAAAGCATACAATTAAATATTTCCAATAAATTTGTAATCAATGTGGGTGTTTCTTGAGTAGACAATAAAAATGGAATATTCTCGAGAAAAGTAATGATAATTCTAAGGGGGAATAAAATATCTTGTTTAAGAGACAACTCAATTATGTAGTGACTTTTTGTTTTGTCTGGTACTTATTTATTATTCCAATAGTGATTCTTTTAACTTTTTTTTACTTCTGTTTGTACATTAATTGACAATAGTAATGTAATGAGGTTCTTTTAGATTCCCTTGTAGTTGATTTTATTGGTATTACAAAATTACTGGTCATGTCCATTCATTTCATTAAGTAAATTAGATAATTCTATAAAAATATATCATAACAATAGGCAGAATAGATAAACTGGATCTCATTATTATTCATTAACCAATCAGAATCGAGGAGGTGAGTAAAAATTTTACAAGAGGTTTCTATATTCACTTCATATCCTCTCTTCCCCTGGTTAAAATAAAAACAGTCTCTCTCTTCTCGCTCTATCATAATGAAAAATTCACTCTTCCCTCCATATTTTCCTTCTTCTTTCATTGTCGATTTTAGTGACATGCAAAGAGAGTTAGAGTGAAGGAAAGAGAAGGTTAGGCGCTTTATTTCGTTAGGTCGTTTGTTTGTATGTAGTGTTGTGTACTGATTTTTTATATATGGACATATTTTCACTATGTATGTGACTAGGATATTTGTGCACATATTTGTAAGTAGTGATAACGCATGAATCCGATTGGTTTATTGATGCGTTAAGCACAGTATCCCAACAAATATGCACGTAATTTTGTTGATGATAACTAGATTGAATGGGGGAGAAAAAAGATAAAATACGAAGACCTCAATCAAACATTTTTAGGCAATAATGAATGTATATTTAGTTGTATGAAGCTAAGGAAGAAAAGTTGCTTGGTGTTGGCTGGCTGGTAGATAATTAAGGAGTTATCCGGTGTCATTAATCATCTATTCTCTTGTATGATGAATAATTGTCAACACATCCTGATGCTTACTTAGTACAGAGTTTACATTTCTACTGGTCAGCTGAATAAAACAATGACTGTTTATGGACTTTCACTTGTTTTCTTCCTTTCAGAGTGTACATTCTTTTAGCCAATAGCTATTAAACTCTGCATTTAAGTGTCCAAATACCAGAAATTAGAATTTGTGGGCCATCCATTGAATTTTGTCCCAGCTGCTGAATGGTATAGGAACACACTTTGTAACCCGAAGATCCTGAGTTCAAACACCCTGACGATGGAATCATGAGTGGATACTGCTGAAGAGTCCCAAAGTAGCAAAAAACAGGTGTCTGTTTATATACTGTACGGAATTTTCAGCTGAGTTTCTTGCATGATATTACATATATGTCCAGGATCTTCAAATAAAGGAAATAATTGACAGTAGATTGTGTGACACAGTTCTATCTGACCTGAAGTGCAACCCAATACATTACGATATCTTTTCTTCTTCTTCTTCTTCTAGAAGTACACGACATTTTGTTGAATGTCAATTGTAAGAAGTCCAGGAGTACATTTTGTGAACCACGGACACCACCTGGGAACGATCATCTCATATACTGGGATAAACTACCATCGAGGATAATGCTTATTCACATGTTTAGTAGAAACTTACGAATCAGCAGGTTGTAAATATTTTAAATACTATTTTTTGATTCCTTTTACGTTCCCCAGTGGAACATAGGGCTTCAAGCTAGAGGCTTGAAGTTTCGGTAGCAGTGGTGTTTATTTTTACGGGATGGCGTTGCTGCTGGCCTCATGTCCAACCTTCCCTCTCTACCATTCTTATTACTGGCTTAGTAAGGTAAAGGAGTGCATCGGCTGGGGATCGAACCCCAGACCAAATGCGTGGTCGGCGAGCATTCTACCGCTGTGCCACCGACGCACAACAATACTATTAGTGGTCATATCTTACCCGATTTGAAAAAACCGAATAATAGAAATTACACAATAAATTGATGGAAGTTTTCTGTAGCCCAATTTTGAAGCAGGCTACCAAATCGGTTTCAGAGGTTCTCTGACTGAAGTCATTTCGTAATGGTACTTGAAGCCGATCATATCCCTAGTAACTATGCATTATTTGTAAACTACACAAGAATAGAGTTTGAGTAGTGTTAGTCTTATCTGGCATAACACACAGTGATATAGTATTATTTGGATGGAGGATTTCATCATGAGCTGACATCAGTTAGAGATTCACTGGAAAGCCTAAGAGTACTGGACAGCCAGCTGTTTCGTCATCCTAGTTTGCCACTCTTTGGAAGTACGCACTCACCGCCAGGGTTAGAACCCAGGACCTTCTGGTTACAAAGCAAGCCACTGGGACCCGATCCAATGGCCCATGAATTCTAACTTCTGCCAATTCACTGATCTTAACCAACTTCATCATCTAAAAGTGAATTCAGAATTAATTAACGGTTTGCTGTTGTAGTTTTATTTTACGTTACATAGATGATTGAGTAACATTAGAACCATTAGTTTTAAATTACCCCACAAACAAGGTTATTTATCGGTCTCAGACGTTATTTGCCGATTGATTAAGTATATTTCTCTGAGCAGTATGATCTTTGTTCAGAAATAAATTTCATTTTGGAATTATTATTATTATTATTAGGTACAAGGTAGTGAATGGGTAGTGATATTTTTACTTCTAGATTTCCCATTTTTCTATAAATTATCGAGTGGAAGATAAAGCTGTTAGGTTGCTCACTGTTGAAACTAAAAAGCGACTGCATAACTTCCGTCTTCTCCTTTACTTCCCAACAGTAGCTGATGATATTTTTCAAACTTATAATATCTATACTTTTAATATTCAATAGGTTGAACTAGTGTGACAACAACACAACATTAGAAATGGATGGATTCTAGTATTGGAGGGCTGTTTTATCTCAGGACTAATCGTAATTTGAAATAGGTTATGATAAATATTTAACGTTACTTACCTTGACAACATCAATAGTATGCTTCTGGTGGGTGACTGAGTTTAGTTACTAGAATGCATTATACTAACATGACTGCTATCATCAATCCTAACGGGGTTATATTACGGGATTCTGAAACCTTTAGTCTACAGAAGCTAGAGTTCGAAGAGAGATCACCCCAAAAATTCTTGTAGCCTTAAATTACCTCTCCAGTTAAAATGCTATTTTCAGCATTGAATTACACATCAGTTAGAGAACCATTGGAAAACCAGCTAAGAGTAGTGGACAGCTGTTTCGTCCTAGTTTGGGACTCTTCAGTAGTACGCACCTACCAACAAATCAAACAAAAAAATCCCTACAAAACCAATACTTGGAAATTAATCTGATGCTCACTAGCGACTGGCCCTATTCAAGCAATTAAACTGGGGTTCTAGTGGGAAGCCGTGACCAGTTGGATGCAGCAGGTTGAAGGTGAGGCAGTAACTCATCGAAGAAGACAGTGTGAAATGGTCGCCTAATGTCATGAATTGGCAGAAGTTAGAATTCATGGGCTGGCTGGCTCGCTCGCCTTGTAACCGGAAGATCCTGGATTCCAACCCTGGCTGTGGGTGCGTACTGCTGAAGAGTGGCAAAATAGTCGGACGAAACAGCTGGCTGTCCAGTGCTTCCAGGTTTTCCAATGGTTATTTAACTGATGTCAGCTCATAATGAAATCCTCCAACCAATCAAATAAAATTCCCCTACAAAACCAATACTTGAAAACCGACAGATTTCCGAAACTCTATGTACTATAATCATTTGTTTCATGAAAGTATAAGCATCTGGTACAATAGTTTTAACAGCATATATAAAGATATGCACGCATACATACATACATAATACATACATGTACCTGCTCAGATTAAAGACTTTTACTTCTCTCCTGACTGATTTGGTAGTTAGGTGAATTTCAATGAGTTTGTTAATAGACTATGTTGTAAGGCATGGAAAGCGGGTTAGTCATTCTTTTCTTTATTTGCCTCATATTTACAGCGAAGATTTTGTAGTTCTTTTTCCTTCTTACTCGAGTATTCAGATGTTTCTGTTGGTTTTAAAGTATAATTCTGTGAGTTGGATAGATTATAATTATGTCTATATACACACATATACACATAGATATTGTTAGTTCAAAATTTGGAAGCTGTCTTTGATCTGAACAACACAAACACATATGAAGCCAACAAGACAGAGAGAGACAGAAAGAGAATCACTGAACCGGAAGATTCAATTTGGTTCGATTCTTGCTCATCATGTTTTAAAAATAGCATGTTTGAGTTAATATGTAGGTGTGTATGTGTGTGTGTATTTGGCGGGGTGTATAGGTCTGTGCACCGGTATGTTTTCATCCTGAGCATGGTGTGCAGCTCGGCTTTCTTTTTCTTTTACACATAAGGGATTACAAATGTATCACTAGTTTTGATCAAAGATTTATTGAATAACTATAGATGAGTTGCGAAAAGTTTTTTCCTTAGTCATAATTAAATATGGTAAGGATAACAAATACTCACCAGAAGAAGTCGGGACGATTTAGGTGAATGAAACAGCGTATTTGTGCTTCATTCTTCAAATGACTTGATTATAAAGGTACAAAAGTTGTTTTAAATTATTATATGAATTGGAAAGTTATATTTTCCCGGGCTACTGAAGAAAGACTATGACATATTACTCAGGATGTTAAAGGTTGTCAGCAGGGTAAGCAACGTGCCACTTAACCAGCTTGTTAATATTCTGGTCGATAGGCACATGGACTCATGTGAAAAATGGGCCAAATCCATTTTATCTAATTCACACCACCCTCTTCACTCACAACTCTCCCCTAGCATCTCATCAGGCAAAACCAGAAGCATATATAGAAAACAATATGCTCGCACCAGCAAGTACAAAAACTCAACCATACCCGACTTAGCTCGTGTTCTGTGCGATAAAGAAAGCATTAGACGTGACACATATAATTCATTAAATAGTCAGTAGTACAACTGGACCTCGTCTTTCCAACTCATATCATTTATAGGTACAACGTTTTATTGATTTCTTTTCCTTTTCTCTCTCTCTTTTTCTCTTCTTTTCCGTTATGTGCTGCTTTGTTTCTTTCTCTCGCTTACGCCAGTAAATATGACATCACCTACTTTTCTAACACCTTCAAACACTGTTCAGCTTTGGCTTTGCTACCGACATGCCAATATGTTGTTGTCATAATTAACTGAGATTTCCTTAATCTATGTAGAATTCTGTTTATTGATAATGTACTAACTGGATGGAATACTGTAGTAAAAATGCTGAGAATTCCATTCTGTATCACAAGTACTGTTTTGGAATAAAG